GCAGGAAAGTCGTTTTGTTCAGGGACGCTCCAGTAACTCGAGGTTTGCTGAGTACCTATGTTTCGCCGGTCTTCGAAGCCCACGGGGGTAGCAGAATCGACTCGTTCTTGACTGGGATATGGTGGGGTTTGGTGCATTTCAAAGCTAGGAACCATAGGAGGGCCCTGCCTGTCGACACTAGCAAACGGAGAGGGAAAGCTGGGAGGTTGACCTTGTGATGCGCCATCAAACTGCGGGGGAAAGCGACTCAGGCCAACGGGTTCTTTACGGTTCTTCCAGTCGGGGGGACCTGGGGGAACTGGTGGGGAATCAATTTGGCGAGTGGGTACGGGAATCGGGGCCGCGGCGATTGGTTGGCTGTTCTTCGCTTGCTTGGAAGTCTTTTGTGGAGCAATCTTCACCTTCTTCCGAGGACCAGTCTCGTTTCCAGTATCCGTTTTTGGGGTAGCGGCGGTCTTGCGACCTGGTGTAGGAGCCGGACTGGCAACATCACCCTCGCTCACGGGCGCGTCGATAGGGAAGACTGGTGCTGCCGCTCGCCGCGGACGGCGTCTATCTCCTGAATTCTCATTCTCTTGACCCTCCTCAGTATCATCAACTTTAAGACTAGCAGTAAGTGCATTAGTCTTGGCCTTTGCTCCTTTCCCGGGACCTCTGCGACGGCTCTTTTTCTTTTCCCTCTCTTTGACCTTCTCCTTCAGTTTTGATGAATGTTTAACCAGATAGTAATGCTGAATGCAAGCCTTGAATCTGCGATTTGGAAGAGCAGCAGCGATCTTATCAAATTGCTTAGGGTGATCCAAATACACCCTTTCAAAGGTTGCTGCCTCTTCCTCGGTGAAATTATCAATTGGTTCTCCGTACTCAAGCACAGCGAAGGATCTCTCGAAAGAGACTGCGTGAGTTCTATCTTTGAAAATTTTGGATTGCCACTCTTCATTGTCCCAACACATATCGGGAATAGTCGCTTCCTTCGCACTCGCAGTTTCTGCGCGAGCGGTTCGTTCATCCTGGTCTTTCTTCTCTTTGGCTTCTTGCTCAGACTCGCGCAAGACTCGCTCAAAATCACGCTCCGTTGCGAATCTACTCCCAGTCCGACGGCCTTCAGGTTTCGAGTTAGAAGCAGAAACGGAAGCTGAGGGAGCGGCAGCTTCTGCAGCGGCTCTTGACCGAGACTCCGCGAACGCTTCGCGGCTTCTTACTGTAGCTGGATCCGAGGAGAAGTCTGTCCATTCTCGATAGGTTCGGTAGCGTTGTGCCCATGCACGGCGTTCATCTTCTTGGTCTGTCCTTCTCTTGGCGGCCTGCTCCCTCAAATGCTTACGAATCCGTTCTTCGGTGACAGGATCTCGCAGTTCAAGAGATTCCAGGAAAGCTCTGTCATCCCAACATGATCCACAATTGAATTTGTGCAGACTAGACACTGGGGGTGTTTTCATCATTTTGCGTACAGCTTCCAGCTCTTGTTGGGTATGTCTCACGGGATCGTCACCACCTAGGTCAACCTGATCGAGACCGCCCTTGTACATAGCGGCTCTCCCGCTTGGTACAGATTTAACGGAGCGGATAGCTGCCCAACGCAAAGCCTCAAGCTCATCTTCTCTCTCTCGTGCATTCCGCTGTTCATCACTCTCCACAGGTTGATCGCGTTGGTCCATCATAGCATTTTGTCTACTAGCGCTGATATTGGCTAGCGGCTGGAGAGATCTGATGGCTTGTTGGTCATCCCCTGACTCGCGAGCGCTTGTGTCGTTCCCATTGAGTCGGTCCGTAATTTGATTGGGCCTCCCATTGATTGCTCCCATAAGAACTGGCTGCGAAGTGGAGCCTTCAGCACGAGACTGGGCAAATCGAATAGCTTCTTCCCTTTCTCGGGTGCTCTGCTCGTCTTCATTCTCGTCAAGCTGCTCCATTAATGGCTTTGCCCGTCCGGGCTTACCATTGGTTGTAGCTTTAGCAGAATTTATGGGCGGCGGGGATATCCTTGGCCTCGTGGCTTCAGGGCGCCCGTCCGTAATTCTGTTGTCATCATCCGGAGATGTAGGTGCGACAATAGATGCTGTGCTTTGAGCAAAAAGGCCATTGACGGTTGGGTCAACATTTGCGGATGTCTGGACCTCTGATTGAGATACAATTTTCCCATCAATTCGTGAGTCTGAAATAGGTTTTATTTCTACAAGTGGCGTCGTGGAAGGGCTTTTGTGTTTGATAGCTGGCTCTGGGGCCAACAGAAGAGGTTGAGGGGGAGGCTTCTGCTCTATGACTGGAGCTACGCAAGGTTCGACAGAAATAATAGGATTCGAAGTAATAATACCGTCAATTGATATCATGAATGGTTTAACAATAGTAGTATCAATAAGATCGAGCTCGGGTGATGGGTTCAGCGGATTTTGTTCCTCTGCTTGAGAAATTTGTTCTTCGATGGACGCGATCTCTACCTCGAAATAATTGTCATCCAGTTCATCTTGGGAGTCCTCATCATCGTCTGACATGTACATGGCAGGTGATGGGATTCTAGCACGATGCTTTGCGACAATAGCGTGACGTTTGCGAGGCTGTTTTGGTACCTGTAAGGGTGGGTGTTGTACTGACGGCCCCACGGTAGTTGGACTGATATCCTTATCTGCATTATCAAAATTCGAAAGATTCGTACTTATCCCTTGCGGGATCTGAATATTTGGGGTACTCTCCTTAGGAGACCTCTCCCCAACGGAAACATCTTCTCGAGACCCGATACTCCCACGAGATGAGATATGTCGTGGACTAGCGGCACTTGGTTCTTCTTGGACATCTCCATTGCGTTTATCCTCTGGCTTGGGTGACGGAGGCTTAACCCATTTTAATGAAGCTGGATTACTCCCAACGTTGGGAATATACGATGACGGGCGGGGCTGGGGAATATGTGACCGTGGTGTAGTGTGGGAGCGTGGTGCCGTTGGTACCGAGGGAGGAAGAGAATTGCTAGCAGCAGGAATAGAAGTAGAACCAAAAGCCGGAACTTGAGGGGGTGGTGTAGCGGATGGTTGAGTACGCCGAGCCCAACCTGGTTCTGGTGAACGGCTCCGAACAGATTGTGGTCTGTTATAGTCGTCGTAAAAACCCCCTCGTCCACGCCCCCCACGTCCACCCCGTCCCCTGTAGCCTCTTCCAAGTCCAAAGGGTTGAATTGAGTCTGCAGATGGAGACACAGCAGACAGTGGAGCGTCGCGAGAATCTCGACGAGTCCGATCCAGATCTAGGTTTAAAGGGCCATCTCTACTGTCGCGAGGCCCATCTCGAGGTCCATAGTTTGGTGAGCGTCCTCTGCCTTGTGGGGAAGAAGGCCTTCGGCCTTGAAAATTGATACGATTATCGCGACTATCCCAGTCCCGTCTATCTCGATCTCGACCTCGATCAGATTCTCGAAAAGGTGGCGGTCTATCATCTCTCCTATCCCTATCCCTATTGAAATCGCGATCAAGATCTCGGCTTCTATCCCGACTATCATCGCGCCAGCCGCCTCGTCCTCCTCGACCACGCCGCGACCACCTCGAAAATCGGCTCGAAAATTGGGGGTATAATTCGACGCACGCGGGCCAGTGGGGGCATCAATCAGTTCTTTCGGGCCTCTTGGAGGTTCACGGGATGAAAAGTCTCGAGAATCGCGGCCGATGGGTTCTCTGAAGACATCTCTATTTGATGCAAATGCGCCGTGGTTTGACCTGGCATCGGGGATGGATCTGCGCCTCTCACCACGCATGGGTCCTCCACGGTCTCTGTATTGATCTGAATCGCGAGAGTCATTGTATCGAGCGGGGGATCGATCTCGAGGGGAGCGTCGAGACTCGCCTGAGTCATATGCTTGGTTTCGCGACGACCTGAGGAGATGGATATGTCAGATTGGGGCAGGGAAAGAAGGGGGGGGGTGGACTGACATTCATGATGTTGGGCAACGGCCCCAGATCAACAGCGAGCCAGCAATGATTGACTCGATGCCAATACGAGGTCTGGGAAGAGTTTGTCGATGAACAGGCTCTCGACAGAGTCTAAGATGCTTTGCGAGTAGCCGCAGTCGGTGTGGAGGCAGCAATTAGAACGCTAGACTTGCATGCGGAGTGATCTTGCAAAATCCTGCAGGCAGGCATGTAATCCAAAACAGTGTACGCCAGGTATGTATGGTTCCAATCGAGGGTGGATGGTTTTGTATACTTTGGACTGTGCGGACGAGAGCTTCGAAGAGTTGTTAGAGTTGTGAGGGTTGAAGGAGTGTGAGATGAGGCTCATCCCCTGTTGACAGGAAGGGCTGGCAGCAAGACCAGATGGATCTCGAAGTCCAATACGCTAAGCCTAGCTTGGCTAGCGTCATACCCAGCACATAAATTTAAACTCAAACAGGGATTTGACGCCTCACCTGGGTTCGTCTGCGCTTGCGCCTGCAGCACGCGGCTGTTCTAATTGATTGTCCACTTATCATTATCACGTGCTAGACGTCGAGGACCGAAAAGAAGCTCAAGCGAGCGATATAAAAACCCTTCACAAAACATCGCGAATCTTACGACAAGCACCAGAAAAGGGAAAATTGCATGAATAGCTGTGGCCGATTTCGAGATTAAATGTCATAAGCAGTCAAACACCAAACACCAAACTCCAAACACCAAACATTCAAACTAACCAAAATAGCCTTTACACCTCTTCCATAGCTTCATCCGTCCAGGACCGGGCACTAGAGCTCTCAAACTTTTTTCACCGGCGTCGACTGATTCTCAAATCATTTGTAAGGACAACCACCCACTCACGTTCTCTGAGGAAATATTGTACCCAAGGAACATACATATTGCTGTCACTTGCGCTGTGGGGTTGGCAGCATGAATTGCTGTGACTAGAAACCGAGGTCACGTTTTTCTTCTCCAGCTGAAGAGTTGATTCAAGTGGAAAGGCAGAACTTATCGCTCCACTTTGGAGTTGCTTTGCTTTTATCTTTTGATCCTTTCCATCCATTTGTATTGCTCAATCAAATCATCATGTCTTCCAATACAGGTGTTCCTTCATCCGTCACGGATGCTGTACTCGTTCAATCAGGGGAAATGCCAGCCAGCTCTCAAAAAGTGGAGGAGCTGGATTTCAACAGATTTGCCAGTAGGGCTATCACAGTTGATGATTTGATGAGTGGAATGAACAATATGGGATTTCAAGCAAGTTCTATTGGCGAGGCTGTGAGGATAATTAATGATATGGTAAGTTTCCATTTCTCTCGCCTAAACCACTTCCCCTATACTGCATTTTCGATATATAAATTCTCATTGACTTCCTATCCGCATATCAAAACTCACCAAGAACCCCTCAATCATCTTTTCATTCGTACCCCTTAATTCTTCACTTCATCACATGAGCCCCCCTCACCCCTTTCCCCCCAGTTACACACAAACCCCTCCCTTATTCTCCTCTACCCCCACATCCAGATCACCATCTCCCAACTAACATCCCCCAGCGCGCATGGAGAGACCCAGAAACGTCCGCTAAAACCACCATCTTCCTCGGCTACACCAGCAACCTCATATCCTCCGGCCTACGCGGCACCCTGCGCTACCTAGCCCAACACTCGCACATCTCCGCCATCGTAACAACAGCCGGCGGCATCGAAGAAGACCTCATAAAATGCCTCGGTGACACCTACATGGGCTCCTTCTCGACGCCCGGCGCCACCCTCCGCGCCAAAGGCATGAACCGCATCGGCAACCTCATAGTCCCCAACAACAACTACTGCCTCTTCGAAGACTGGATAGTGCCCATCCTCGACACCATGCTCGCGGAACAGGAAGCTAGCAAGAAGGCAGCATCCGAAAATGCGGAAGTCGAAGAGCTCAACTGGACGCCCTCCAAAATCATCGACCGCCTCGGCGCCGAAATCAACGACGAGCGCAGCGTCCTCTACTGGGCGCACGTCAACAAAATCCCCATCTTCTGCCCCGCGCTCACTGACGGCTCGCTCGGCGACATGCTTTACTTCCACACCTTCAAGACCTCACCGCTACAGCTGAAAATCGACATCGTCGAGGACATCCGCAAGATCAACACCATGGCCGTGCGCGCCAAACGTGCCGGCATGGTCATCCTAGGCGGCGGCGTCGTTAAGCACCATATTGCTAATGCGTGTCTGATGCGGAATGGTGCCGAGAGTGCGGTTTATATTAATACGGCGCAGGAGTTCGATGGGAGTGACGCAGGTGCGAGGCCGGATGAGGCGGTCAGTTGGGGGAAGATTAAGGTGGGGGCTGATAGTGTCAAGGTAATTCTTTTTTCCCCTCAATTTTTTCTTTTGCTTTTCCTTTTCTCACTCTACATTTGCATCCTCGAGCAGTAGATTGATGTTTATGTTGTGGTATATTGTTTCGAGCAAGGACTAATAGAAACAGGTATACGTTGAAGCTACCGCATGCTTTCCCCTTATCGTCGCAGCTACATTCGCCAAAGACAAATGTTGCGATAAGAGCGAGGAGAAGCCGAAATCCACAGACAGTGAAAGTACAGCATAAACACCTCTCGCTGTCGAATAAAATAAAGGACAGACGGAAAGAACTATCTAGTGTAATACATTCTCCACTTCCACCTCCATGTTAATGTATACCCAAAGCAAGCAAGTAATACCCCATTCCTCCCAACATACGTAAGGATATGTGTAATAAGACAACTCAAACCCGCCAATTCGAACGCCAAACCTTCCCATGTGCCTCACATCACTCCTCAGTCTGCGTCCCAACATCCTTATCCCTCGTCGTCCTCTCATAACTAAGCACTGGCTTTACTCCACCTCCACGCCAACTCATAACATCCTCATACCTCCTTCCCCTCTTCCCCTTCTCCTCCCTAAACCCAACCTTCTCCTCCTCCAAATCCGCCTCCGACGCAACTCTCCGATCCCCCATTCTCCACTTCGTTTCCACGAGCTCCGTGGACCCTGTATCCCCTTCAGAACGCACTTTCCGGCGAATTATTTTCTGCACCGACTGGTTTACAGCGAGACCGGGCGATGTATTTGTGCCTCTGTGTATTAAACCCGGTTCAGGAATTGGCCATGAAGTCGGGCTTCTAGGGACCCAAAGCGTTGGTGCTGGTTCTGGGCTTGGAAGTGGAATTACTTTTCTGGTCGGTAGAGAAAATGGAGAGTTGGGTGGGGCATGGTTCCTAGTTATCAATTCAGTCAGTCAGTAAGCGATTCAATCACTGCACTTCTCATCTTTCATTTCAAGCATTCAATGAACAAAACAATGGGGAACTCACTCTGACAACTGTTTCTGTCCCTGCTTGCGATTTTTCTTTCCTTCTCCAGCTGTATTTCCACGCCCCCGACCACGTCCCCGACCACGTCCTCGTCCTCGTCCCTGTCCATTCTCCCTCAAATCCTGTTTTTCTTTCCCTCTCCCTATCCCTGCCCCTCTTCTGCCTCTGCTACCTCTGGGTCTGCCTCTCGGTCTGCCTCTGCCTCTTCCCTTTCCTTTCCCTTTAGACACTTCTACACCTCGTCTTTCAACCCCTCCATACCACTCCTCCACCCTTTCCATCTCTGTTCCCTTCCCCATCCCCATCACTTTTTCAGTTCCCATCCCCTCCATTCCTAATGGTATTCCCATTCCCATCCCCATTGGCGTTCCCATCTTAGCTCCAATCCCCATACCTATACCTGTCCCCATCCCCATTGGCGTTCCCATACTCATACCCATCCCCCCCTCAACCCTAAACCGCCCCTCAGAATCAACAACCACATCCTCCGTCCTCCTCGCAAACACATCATCCCTCCGCGGATCCGTCAGATAAGCCGGCGGTCCCGCATACTCAATTTTCGGCTGATATACATATTTCTTCGTCGACCCTTTCCCTCTCTCTTTCTCGTTCGTAGCTGCTATCCCTTCCGTCTTCAACCGTTTTTCCGATGGTGCTTGACCTTGACCTTGAGACTCGGATTCGGAGGATAGTGATACAGATTTCGGCGTCAGTGCTGGGAGCGGGCTTTGCTGCCATAGATTGAGGTTTTTATTCTTGCGTTTCTGGGGCGTGTTCGATGCGGAGCTTGGGATTGCCGTGGGAGTCGAGTTGGGGTCGGGCGTGCTCGTGCTCGTGCTCGTGCTCATGTTTGCATGTCATGTATGTACTGATTTGTGCATGTGCACGCATATATGGGTGGAAGTACTAATAAGGGTATTGTAGAATAGAAGAAGAGTTTCGAGATAAGTACAGTCGTTACTATTGCCCTTTCCTCAGATCTTCAGATTCTGCTTTTGGGTTTTCATTTTTCGGGCTTGATTTTGAGGTTCATTAGGTATGGCAAGTGCCACGGCATTTGATTCGAAAGGGGGAAAGAACGCTTTACTTCCTTCCTTCCTTCCTTCACTTCATCTCATATTCACATTTCCAGACAGCTAGCTAGCAAATCGCACGTAAGTGGTATATATCCAAGGGCCTGAAAAGAGAGGAGAAGAAAGGAAAGTTCACTTTATTCATTTATTCATTGCACGCACCATCACTTACGCATGCAAGCACGCAAGCATCGATGGAACTGCTTTGGGACTACATTCATCGAATTAAAATTTAAGCTGCTACCTTATTTAGCTATTATGATCTTCTTGCCGTAATTCGTTGTTTTTTGGTATTGGGGTTTTCCTTGACCACTCTGCTCCTCAGTGATCTTCTTTTTTCTTTTTGGCGTTTTCCATCATTTTCAGTTTAACTACATGTGCAGGGCACCATATAAAACACTTTTAACTAACTGAACTTCTAACTCAAAAACTCCAAAACAATCCAATCCAAAACAAATCAATCCAATCACAATCAGTATAAATTGTGAGATCTGTGCCTCTGTCTGCCTACACGTCCATACTCCAAGAAGACAGCTCTGGAAGCACAGTTAGTGAAGCACAGTATAACATATACACAATACCCCGGAATCAAGATGCTTGACGTATACGTACAAAGCATCAATCGAGTCTGGGAGGCAGTGGCGTGGCGATGGTAGCCAGCTACTGAGCGAATTTCGGATTCGGCTTCCTGACACGCGCTGATGCTCGGGTTCCGGTCACGCGCGGGGTGGGAGGTGGCGGCTGCTTTGGCTCTCTCTTTTGCTTTTTCCGGGCTGGAGGTTGGATCTCCGCGTCGGCTTGACGGTCCGTTGTAACACCGAAGTTGTCATTAGGATTAGCTCTAGCATTGTCATTTGCGCAGGCGTTGACTGGACGATTCATTGCAACGCCGAAGTTGGTGTTAGCAGTGGCCCGGGCATTGATATTTGCGCGGTCGTCGGCTTGACGACTTATTCCTATACCCAAGTTGTCATGAGAATTAGCTTCAGCATTAGCATTTGCGCGGGCGTTGATATTTGCACGACCGTTGACTTGACGACTCATTGCAACACCGAAGTTGGTGTTAACAGTGGCCCGGGCACTCCCATTTGCGCGGTCGTCGGCTTGACGACCAATTCCCATACCGAGGTTGGCATTAGCATTGGCGCGGATGTTGGCATTGGAACCAAATGCAGCGGTGGAAGTGTTGTTGCGCCTCGCAACAGCAGCAGAAGAAGCTCCCCAGGCAGAAGCAGAAACTTCTTCAACATCCGAATCAGGCTCAGGTTCGGAGTCAGTATCCCGATCCATACCCAGATCTTCAACCGTCAAGTGGCACCTCGTCCTCCTCTCATATATCCGATCCCATTCTGCTCGCGACAAAGGAGGCACCGTTGTCCAGAGGTGAGCATCTAGGTGAGCGCGAACTATGGCGTATGGACCTGTGAGGTTAGATTCCGAGGAGTCCGAGGATGAGTCCGAGGATGAGCATGAGCACGAGCATGAGGATGAGGAAGAGGAGTGGGAAAGGGATGGAGAAGAGGGAAGGGGGGCTATTGACATTCCCATGAGGATATTGGCCGCATCGCTGGCCTCCAGATCAATGTCATCTTCGGGTGATGCTGTTGCAGATGCGGATGCTACTCCGGGTTCGGGAGAGTTTGAAAATGCCCGGACCGTCTCCGTATCATAGGTAGAAGCACTGTGGAAGTCGGCATCATCGCCTTCAGGGACATCATCGTCCATCACGAAATTCTCATCATCATGCTCCTCATTGGCAAGCTCCTCTAGAAGCTGCACGGGCATTGAGGTGCTTCGCTGAGCTCGGGGGTTGGCATATGGAGCTGGAGCTGGTGTTTGTAAGTATCACGTAGGAAAGGAGAAGAGGGAGAAGTACACATACTCTGCGATGGTACTCCCAGCAGTTCATGCCTTGGTAGAGACAATGAACCTGCGGGGGGTGATCTAGATGGCACTAATCCTTCTAGAAGTCCTACTGGATGACCACTAACAGCTAAGTCTGACGACTGTTTAGAATACTGTGCATGAGTAGAGTGCTCAATTGCCCGATAGACACGAATCGGCTCAATAGGCCCTGAATCTGGACCCCGAGCAGACAACGATTCGTCATAATGTTCACACGGCGGCAAAGACCTATAGCCATGTCCAACAGGCGAAAGTGGACGGCCCGGGTTCTTAAACTCTTCATCATGAAGGTATTCATCATGATCCCCACACGTACCGAATGGATCATTTACCCAATCACGTGGTCTTTTGCCAGTATTGTCTTTTGGACCTGGGAACATTGAAGTGAGAGAAGTGCGTCCTTGAAAAGTGGGTTCAGGTGTTGGTAGGGTGCGTTGCGAATAGGAATTACCTGTTCCTTTAGTCATTGAAGCATATGCATGTTCATTACCTGGGCTATTGCTCCTATCCCATGGACTAGGAACATCACCCTTTCGTAAGTCGTAGTCATAATCATCAGTTGGTATTGGTGCCTTGCAACCCCTGGGATAGGCAAATGGATTTAGACCCCATGGACTTTTGAGCTCTGCTGTTGACGTGCAATTATTCATTGGCTTTTTGTCTGAAGAGGTCCCGCGGCGCTCACGAACCATCACCGCCGAGCCACCAAGTGTTTTCCGAGCAGACGACGGACCTGCTGCTCCAGATTGTGGAAAGGGTTTCTTGCTCTTTGAAGGCGAATTCGACTCTTCACGGTAGGGAGGAAGGGAACTCTCACGCGAGGCATGGGCACGGATTGCAGCCATTTGTACAGCGCCATGATCGTACACACCAGGTCCCTTCATGAATTGCTTGAGGGGTCCATCTTGAAGGCCGTCCGGGCGATAGGTCATTGATGCACCCGGGACGTGGTTCACAGAGGTAATCCTTGATTGCTCTCCACTTGCACTCGGTGCTAGTCCTGCTTGCCCCTTTTGGCTAGCAGGAACAACTTCTACAGACGGAGATCCTTGACGGTCTGTCATTTTGAAGATACAGAGGTTGGTGATGATAGCTTGGAAGATCATATTGCCTATACACCGAATGTCAGCACAGTGAAACAAGGACTAGATTCCCGCTGAATGCGGAACTCTTACAAGGAAATCCTTAAAGAATCTCGTGACCTGGTGGACCGTAAGGTCGTCCCGAGATCTGGAATTAATGTCGACGAGGTGAACTTGATGAATATTCAAGACGAAGCGCAGGTCGAAAGGGATTAAAGGTGGTTGGAGAAAGCAAGCCCGAGAATTAGAATGATTGTTGTAAAATAAGTTGTGAAACGAGGGAGGTATTGCCGACGGGAGGTGTCGGACAACGGGAATTGAAGAACTAAGAATAATGTGGTGGAGCTGTAAACGATAGAAGTATGAAGATAACGGTCGTCAGACTTGTCACGTTGAATGATTGAGACTTTGACGTGATTTATGTCGGAGTCAACATGGTTTCGAAGAAAACATATCCAACGAGGAAGGGTGAAGAGAGGAAGTTCAAGGCTCAGTGGACGAGGGAACGTGGCGATATTTATTCTGACAGCTGTCTATGGGTCCTTGTATGAGCGACCAGGTACTAGCTGGTGGTCTAATGTATACAGTGAACGGATTTGGATGTGAAATATAAGGGAAAGTAATGAAAACGCCCTTTTTTCCCCAGAAAAATAGACGTAATAGCAACGGACATAGCAGCGGACACAACTAGACATACAACTAACACAAGATGTGTCCTCGTGCGAACATCTCCTTGGTCTAGCTAAACATATTTCTGACCTCATACCTAGCATATACTCTAGTTCAGCGCTTTCTAAACGCTAGAAGAAGCAAAGAACTTACTAACTCTCCGCTGAGAATCGCTCAGCCACCCTACTATCCCGGGTAATGCACACTGTCTCCTTACAAGTGCAATGTGAAGCTAGCTCGTAGGCTACACCTCGCTGCACCTTTGATACCGCGGTTTTAGACGTCATTGTGGTCAGGAAATGACTTGCGAGTGACTCTACATCGGCGCTGTAAACCACCATTAGAATTCTCGATGTGAACTAGAAATAAAAACGACTAAGTTGCTGAAAACCGAGCATGTCGGGACCGAATATGGAAAAGTTTGGTTCGGTGTCATTGAGGCCCAGCCCCTTTCTGTAAGCGATTCGATTGGAGCCTTTGTGGACCTTTCGTCACCTGTATCTTGATGGAAGTAAGCAGATAATGATATCGTAAGGGAGTGATCACTCCTTACTAGCAAGTAGGACTTGATTCTGGTCCTGTTGGATGTTGCATATAGGTAGAGAAGAGGTTCTAGATACTCTGGTAGGTTGAAGAAGCAAAGGTTGGTGAGTTAGGTAAGCTTGAGCTTGAGCCTCATCTTGCGCTAGCCGTGCTAGTCCTGCAAGCCCTCATGTGTCTAGCACGTGACACCCAATTGGCACCGACGTAAACAAACCACCCTCCCTCCTCTTATTTTGTAATATTTATAACTTCACTATTTATTAGGCCCAGTAAGTGGAAAGATAATTCATCGACAGCGCAACCCCTATGGCCATCATCTTAAACCTCCCAAAACTTTCTGCGACGAGACCCCAATCGCCAGCGCTAAGTAGGAAGCCATTGGCCAAGTATTAACCATCCAAAGAAGTTAGTGTATGGAAGGGCTTCAAACATCCGGTGACCAGAGATATTAGGGTTATCATAAAGAGAACAAGGGATGAGCAGGAGGCCGAAGGAAGCACCTTTTGGATGACATATGCCCGTTGAATGCGCCAGGAAGAGGAGCGCCCTAGAAGCTGTCATTGTCTGGTTGGACTAAACCCCACCAGACCATTACCCAGCACACAGACTACATATCATTTAGGCCAGTATACAGCTTGTGGTAGAAAGGAACGCCGGCTGACTGTGGACGAGCATTGCAATGAATGCTTTTTTATAAATCCTATGGCATCTAGATCATTCGTAACTTGCTTACTAAGGTGATGCACAATGCGGTTTATCATTTGTATTAGAGTCCTAGTATAATCCAGAACTGATGATACAAGGTAAGGGAAGGGAAAGCACGGTGGTACTCTACATCGATGAAGTAGTAAATTACATACAAAGATCTACCTCAGACCACCTGATTTTAACATATAAATTCTTCCTACCTAGGTAAATATACTAGAAAGATCGATTCAAATATAGGAAAACTGCCTTAGAACAAGCGAATATAATGGTTCTATTTTTCAGAATTTCTTTGGTGGTTGTGTTTGTGATGCAGGGTTCTGGTGGTTGAGAAGTTCAGATCCCTGCAACCAGCGTGACAGCCGCTGTACCTCCGTAAGGCTTCATCAAAATTCAAAGTCTCCCGAGGTCCTCCTCACCACTAAACCACTCCTCCCCTACAATCACCTCCCCGCAAAATGTCTTCCCTCTACAACCTCGAACCCCAACCCACAGCCTCCTGCATCCTACACACCACCTCGGGCGACATCTCCCTCGAACTCTGGGCCCAACAACTCCCCCTCACAACTCGAAATTTCCTGCAGCTCGCGCTCGACGGCTACTACGATGGCACGATATTTCACCGTCTCGTCCCAGGCTTCATACTCCAGGGCGGCGATCCAACAGGCACTGGGAATGGCGGCGAGAGTATCTATGATGGCGGGGCATACGGGGAGGAAAATGGGATCTGGCCCATGGAGGAGAGGAAGGGAGGGAATGCTGGGCGCAATGGTGTGGGGTTTAAAGACGAGTTTCATTCGAGGGTGAAGTTCAATCGTCGCGGGCTGTTGGCGATGGCGAATGATGGGACGCCGGATAGTAATGGGAGTCAGTTTTTCCTGACGCTGGATAGTACGCCTGAGTTGCAGGGTCGAAATACGCTGTTTGGGCGCGTGGAGGGGGAGACGATTTATAATGTTGCGAAGATGGGAGAAGCGGAGGTGGGGGGGAATGAGAGACCGCTTTACCCGACCACGGTTACGAGTGTAGAGGTGCTGGTTAATCCGTTTAAGGATATGGTTAGGAGGGAAAAGAAGGTTGATGTGGACATTGTGAAGGCGAAGGATATTAAGGGCGCTGGGAGGAAGAAGAGGAAGGTTGGAGGGAAACAATTGTTGAGTTTTGGAGGGGATGAGGGGGATGAGCAGGAACAGGTGCCGGTTAAGAAGAAGGCGAAGTATGATACGAGGATTGTGTTTGATGAGGAACCTGTGGTTGAGTCGAAACCGAAGCCCAAGAAGCAAGTTCCAAAACCAGCTGCAAAACCAGTTTCCATCGAGTCCTCGCCCGAATCTACACCTCCACCAAAATCACTACCCAATCGAGCAGCGAAAACCGAACGAGAAATATCCTCATCACCAGAACCAGAACCAGTACAAAAGGTTTCGTCCTTGCTAGACAGGACGAATGCCCAAATCGCAGAGCTGAAAGCGTCCATGAAACGCAACGTCCAAATTGCACCCGTTCACGAGAAGAAGAAATCCGCCCTCGAAGAAATGATACCCTCAACCTCCGTCCGCGGCCGGAAACGCCACCCAGGCGGAAACACCACCACCAAAGAAGAACAACGAACGCTAGACCTCCTCAATGCATTCAAATCAAAGCTAGATCAAGCTCCACCGCCCACGTCCAAAGAAGCCTCAAAGGCCACCCCACCGCCAGAATCCGCGTCTCACAAAGACGCAAAAGAAGATGAAGAAGAAGCAGGGTTGTGCGATCTGCATTTCATTGTCGACTGCCAATCCTGCAAGAAATGGGATGCGCAGGCCGATGCGGAGAGTGATGAGGAGGTGGGTGGGGTGGGCTGGATGTCGCACGCTCTTTCGTTCAAAGAGGATAAGCTGGGCAAGGACTTGAGTTATCGGAAGAAAGCTGAGAATGAACTTGTCGTTATTGATCCGCGGGAGAAGGCGCGGACCCTGAAGGAGGAGAAGAAGGCGCAGAGGGAGGCTAGGGCTGGGGGGACTGGGAGGGAGTGGGATATGGTTCGGAATGAAAAGTTGGCAAGATCGTCGGCTCTGTCTGGGAGGGGTGCCAAGTAGGGATGAGATGAGAATGAATAGAATTTATTGTATGAAAGACTATTCTTGAAGAGACTTCACATGTAGGCGCATCATAGGAGCTGCAGAACAACACCATATGATCAAAACATTTATGATTGCAAGCATAAAGACTTGTCCTCATTGTGACATGAAGTATCATGCATCCAAATGTCTTTCATTTAGCCTAATTTAATTATATGTCGTGGATTATCACGAGGCTGCAGCCTTCACATAAAGAAGATGTCAGCCTTATCTCTTGGTGGAGTGAATTGTGATTGGCTGGGCGCATATTTGCTGACTGACTGAACGGAAACCAAACCTCGATATTGAAAAAGAAACATAAATACATAACGTACATCAACACGTTGATAACAACACCACAGCAGCTAGAACAATGAACATTTGATAGACTTTCCCTTTCTCTTTCTTTTCTTCCTCTCCCAAATTGAAACGTCTGCCGCGGCCTGCAAAGAAAGAGCTTACAACGACCTTCAAGCTGCATCATCCCGAACTCCCCGCATTGACCCAACTTCACCACCACCGCCGCTCTTTCGCCCACCAATTCAAGTCTCACGTCTTTATTGAACACAATAGAATCGCTGTTAGAAGATCCTCTACGCGCCCAGCATTGACCGTCGCCTTCCCTTTGATGTCCTGATGTCCTGGTATCCTTTGCGCAACATCAGAGATTTATATAATACGCTTTCCACTTCCATCTCTTCATCTCTAGAAAGTCTGCGATCGAGATTACTACAGTATCCAACGGCACACAATACGGCAAATACAGAGGCTATTGGCAGAGGAGGGAGAGTGACGGCTGCTAGGAAGGAAGGGAGGAAGGCTGCAGCTAGCCTCGACCAGTCCTGAAGATACTGTACTGTACACACTGTAGCCTCATCCAACCACCCATCCACCCTCTCACCCACCACCATACACAACCACGAGAACGACAACCCCATCAAACTACCAAACCACCAAACCTTTCTTTCCCTCTCTGACTGCAACTTCTCCGTCTGATGTATGCCCAGATGGCGGCTCAAAACCCCACCCACACTCCCATTTCCCGAAAGAGAGCAGCTCCCGGCTCCTCACCCGCTGTACAAAATGCCCCGACGCCTCAACAGTACCCTACTTCCAACCCTCCTATGTCCGAGTCGGATGCAAATTTCCTCCTCCGCAGCCAGGCAGGAAAGAATAATTTTACGTACCAAGATCCACTGGGATATAATATGACGTACGGCGCAAATAATGGATTGTCCCAAGGATCATCATACGATCAGTCAGTCTCAGTGCCAGCACCCTCAACACAACTCGCGCGCAGACCCATCAACCGGCAACTGGTCTCAACAGGACCACGACCAACCTTCGACGTGACGGGTGATCAGTGGAATCAGTTTGGCGCAGAGGACTCGATGGCCGAAACCCCTGGCATGGAAGAGAATGACAACATTGAGCTGTTGGAAGAGAAGGCCAATGTTGCAAAGAGGGATGCGCAGGGAAAGCGGAAACAGATCCCGCCGTTTGTGCAAAAGTTAAGCAGGTAAGCTTTCTCTTGTTCCCGTTTGCTCTTGTCCGCTATGGATGCTGATTTGTGCTACAGTTTCCTTGACAAGTCAGAGAATACAGACCTCATACGCTGGTCGGATCGGGGTGATTCGTTTATTGTGGTGGACGAGGACGAGTTTGCTAAGACCTTGATACCCGAGCTGTTCAAACACAACAACTATGCGTCGTTTGTCCGACAATTGAACATGTATGGTTTTCACAAGCGGGTGGGACTGTCAGATAATTCCATGAAGGCAAGTGAGAGGAAGAACAAGAGTCCTAGCGAGTACTACAATCCATACTTCAAACGCGGCCACCCGAATCTGCTGTGGCTCATCAACAAGCCGAAGAATGGGGTGTCGAAAGGAAAAGGGGGTAACAAGAAACTCAAGCTGGAGGATGGAGAGGCGGATAGTGATGATGATGGAAGAGATGGCATTGAGGAAATTTACAGGGACAACATGCCTGGTGCCTCTCGAGCAATCTCTCAAGCCCCTGAAGCTGGACCGCCGCAGAGACGAGACCTGGCGGTAGTTCACAACCAACTTTCCGAAATTCAGAAGCAGCAAGGTGCCATTACCAACGCCTTGACTCGATTACGGAAAGATCACAATGATCTCCTTCAGCAAGCTGTGGGTTTTCAGACACTGCATGATCGCCACGAAAATTCTATCAATGCTATCCTCACATTCCTCGCTACAGTCTACAACCGGAGTCTGGATGGCAATGTACCACAAAACTTTGCCCAAATGTTCAACAGCGGAATACCTCAACAGCCACAAAATCAAGGCAACGTTGTTGAACTAGCCGATCCCGCAAACCAACAACAAAACCCAGGAAGCATGAGTCCCCAACGCCGTCAACAGCGTCTTCTCATGGCTCCTCCAGGCCGAGCCAACACTCTCTCCCCCAAACCATCAGCCTCTCCGCAAGCCCAAAATACTCCCAAATCCGGCACAGTCGAAGAGCTATATGAGCCCACCTCCGACTCACCCCGCATAAAGGTGGAGCAAACTACTCCTGTCAGCCAACCCCACAATCTAATGATGAACCTCATAAACAACACCAACGACGCCGCCTCTCAAAACAATCCGATCAACGGTTTGGAATTCCCCGAACTGCTCACGCACTATGAAAACGCCAACGGCCAATCCCCACTTACCTCGGAACAACGCAACACCATGTTAAACCTCATGGCCAACTCCTCGACATCATCCACAAACAACGCTCTCCTGTCCCCCACCCCGCCTCCTCCCCCTTCCCTAGATGATATGGGTTTAACGCAGGCGGAGATTGATGATCTGATGCTTCTACAGAATCAACAGGATGAGAAGCTCGCAGAGGTGCGGCATGTCCTGCCGGATATGGATGCCAATTACTTCAACACTGCAGACCCGAACATAGATCTTGATCAATACCTTGACCCCGGCGCGTTCTACACCGGCAGTTCTCCTGCTGCTGGGCCATGGGATGGGACGTTTGGTGGTGTGAATGGTGAGGTGGATGGCATGGATTTTGGTCTAGATGGCGCTGCTGATACGAACGGGAGGATTGTGGAAACGGTGGTCAATACGCCGGAGCCAGGAATTGAGGATGATAAGGCGGATGGCGGGAGTCCGAATAAGAGGCGGAGGAAAAATTAACGGCTGCTGTTCTGTTTACTTCAAAAGCTTGGATGGAGGGATGGGGGGATGGACGGACGGATGGATGGATTAAAAAATGGGGAGGCCAGTTATGATGTTATGACGGATGGCGAATTCATATGGGTGGCCTATTTACCTGGCCTGGCGTTTCACCATACCTTACATACATACCTAGGTAGGTATCATCTTTAGAGATTTTTGTCTGGCGCGGGAGGTGTTGATGGATTGATAGGTATGCTACATACATAGGTCCTTGTAGCGTTTATTTACCGGTCGAATTATATGGCATATGGATGAATATATTATTCTATTCTTCTATTTGTCTATTCTATTCTATTCAATTCAATGAATAGAGTCGTTTATCATCATCAATCATCATCCGACGATTCCTACTACCTTACTCTCACTTTTACTCCTGCAGTGCGTAATTAATTAAAACATTACATCTGTCTCATCCACCTTCATCCACCTTACTTCTTACTGTTATGTTTCTATTGTTATCCTCCTGCAGTACTACAATGTAAACAATGTATACAGTCCATCCTAGCTTACTTTATACCTCCGTACCTACCTACCTACCGACCTATAAGTGACGCTCCGCTGGCCCTCCGGGGGCCACTGCCGTGGAGGCC